CTAGCTTCCTCCTCGTCTTTGCGTCTAATCCAAGCTTGGATTTCCAACAAGATTCCCTCATTGTTCCTATGTCTTTCTCCACAATATCTAATATATTTCCATCTTTGTTCCAACCATTCCCCGCTCGTTACTACGCTCTAAAACCACTTTGATAGAACCTTTCTTCTCTCTCAACCTACAAAACCACTCATGCACTACAAATACCCAGAATTCCCAGTCACCTCAATAACAACGCAAGACAATTCAACCAGACTTTCTGAAATACCTTTGTATTACTAATAATATTCAAAACAAACACCAGTTCAATCCTCAACAAGATACACCAAGCACAATCTAGAGAATGAACAGCAATTGACAATAAGCAAACTAACCAAAAAAGAAAAAAAAATAAAGAAAGAAGATAACTAAGGATAACCAGCTGGCTTCGAGGGCCAGTACCTCCCCAACCCAAATTCCCTTTTACTTTTTCAATAGCACAAATATTCCCTGTCAACCTTTTTTATGCACAATTCCCACTCTAAAAGAATTATTTTAAACCCAATCTGAAGATACCACCTGTCTAATGCTTAATGCGCAGTAAAGTGCCATTTATCCTCTATTCCCTCTCTTATTCTTTCTGATGAAGACGTGCACCAAAAGGGTCTTGGTGTGCTGTCATAGGCAACCAAGATTAAAAACCTTCCTAACCTAACTACTGAACTATAAATAGGGTAAGCAAGGGTCGATCCCACGAAGAGTGTCTAGCTGAATTTTCGATGATGTGAATAAGGCTGGGGGGTTTTGAGTAAAACAGAAAACAATCTTAGCCAAAAACAAAAACAAAAACAATTCAATTCGAAATCAATTAATATAATGAAACTTGGTCTCCATCAACATCCACCACCGAAATCTTACAACTGATCATTGATGCAAAAGTAAATCAACTCTTACTTTGAATATTCACCATTGGAACTATTTTCCTATCTCACCTTAATTGTAATTAATTAGGAAACAAGCGATCTTAATTAATCTTACCATTAAACAACCCTAGACAAGCACTAAAGATATAATCTAATGGCAACCTTAAGAATTAGAGAGATCGATGAAGCTAAACAACACAAACTCAAGCGGTTGTATTTAATTTAGTCGAGTGCTCCTCTTAAGATTACTAATTCCTGACACAGCAAATTAATAACCCGAATTACTTCACAAGTTAGAGGGATCAAACAATTACGGATTTGATATCTAACTTAGCAGTAGATTGTAACAAATAATAACCTAGTAGGCCTTCTAGCAATTAAATGAAACAATCATGAAAATAAGCATAGAAGAACATGCAATACTCAAAGCATAAAATTGAACACTGAAATAAAACGGATTAGATCTCACAGTTATTGATTTCGAGGCCTCCGTTTCCTTCGACCAAGTTATAAAAATTAGCCTATCATGGCCATCACGAAAATTCCAAAGGAAAAGTTACAGAGCAGACTAGAGAGAGGCGTGTGTCCCCCCAAACCTAATCTAATCTCCTTAAAAAATATCCAGTTCAAGTATTTGAATTCCACTAAATTTCCTAAAAGAAATATTCTAATATCCTAAAATAACATTAATCCTAATTTGATTCTAATTAATTGAAAATAAGAAAAAGTCCTAAAATAAAATAGGAAGGTGGTGATTCTGAGCTATAAGTTGCATGCCACATGTCTTCAAATCTTCCAATAATAAACTGCCCAATTGATTTGCATGACAAGGCAAAATGTTCCAGAACGTCGGCAGTGCAGGTGCGTCAACTTGAAGCCTAATTACAACCTTGATGCAGCGAGTATCTCTCCAAATTCAAAACATGAAAGTTGTAGATATCTTTCTTACTGTTCCACATCATTTTGAATCATCTCAATCGGAGCTCGGATGACAGAGTTATGCCCAGATTATGAAACAATGTCGAAACTGTCCGAATTCACTTAATTAGTTCCGTTTTGCAATTAACGCCTCCATTTGCATCCTCAATCAAAATAGAATAATAATGAGTATATTTAGGCAGAATATAAGTATAAAAGACTAGACATTAAGGTGGGGTAAATATGACATTTTGCATTCTCATCAAATTACCCCGCACTTAGCTTTTGCACATCCTCGGGCAAACTAATTCAAACAAACACTACACTCAAGTCATATCAAGAACACCATCATGTCAAGTCATATCAAGAACGCCATCATGATGCATAAGCAATAGTATTTAATCGATGCATATTCGTACCTAACTTAGGAAGTAGCAAAATAAAATAATGTAGAGTTAATGATATTCATCTCTCTTCATCATTTTCCACAATTACTCTCAATCAATCAATGCAAACAAGGAAACTAATCACAACCAATTCATATACAACTCCCCTCTCAACTTTTCCTTAACTGTTTCTTTTTACTACTACAAACTGGGTAGCAAACTAAGGATAAATTTTTTTTTTTCTTTCTGTTTTGAAAAAGAATGACTGCATTTTATGCTCCATCTCATTTCATGGCTGTGTTTATGAGTGAGTGCGTTTTACGCTCCATCTCAACTCACCACATACCTTTCTTTCCTTTTTCCTATTTGCTTAAACCCAAATTTAGGACTAGCTTAAGAGAAACAATTTTTTTTTTTTTTCTTTTAAGGGTTGTTATACACTCCTCAATCATGCTTCATCACCAAGTTCACACAACTTATCAAGACATATTGTTTCAAACTACAAAGATTCAAATATGATTAACTCTATTTTATGAAATATTGCTAGCATCTAAGTCAAGGAATATGCTCAACAACAAAGTCAAGTTACTATTTCATGCATCACTAGACGTTCAAAGACATGACTTAAAGCATAAACCTTCCTAAAAGCAAAAAATATTTGTTTTTTTTTTTTTAATTAAAACACAACCTAAATCCCCTCCCCCACACTTAAAACTGACATTGTCCCCAATGTAAGATGAAATGCAAAGAAAAGGCAAAAATAACCAAAATTTAAATGTAAGAAAAAGAAAACAAACTCCCCTTGGGTTACCTCCCAAATAGCGCCTTTGTTTATTGTCGTTGGCTCGACTCAAGGCTTTTCTTCTTGCGATGCACTGAGTAACATTCTTCCGTCTCCAAGGAACATGTTCTTGAGGTAACTAAGGAGAGGCTTCAAATCTAGAATGGGATCCTACAAAACAGAGGGTAAAGGCCTCTCGTTAGAAATTGGTAATGCAATATAAGGAACGTTACCTAACTGCTATAACTTCGGAAAATCATGCAATGCTGCAACAGTTTCCTGCAAATTAGTACTCAACGCTAACTCCTCATTCTCTTCCTCAATATGCTTGCTAATGACAACTCCCAATCCATCTTTTCCATCAAGTTCAAAAACTTCCTGTGCTTAAGAATCAACCACATCAATAGAATAAACATGATCATCATCATCATCATCATCATCAGGATATTTCATGGCATGATAAATATTAAACTTGACAATTTCGCCATCAAATTCCATGGTAAGTATGCCACTATGAACATCTATCTTAGTCTTGGATGTTTTTAAGAAAGGTCTTCCTAACAAAATAGGAGTAGATTGATCTCCATTTTCCATATCAAGCACATAGAAATCAGTAGGGAAAACTAAGTTATTAACTTGTACCAAAACATCCTCAACTACACCCTTAGGATAAGCATTAGATCCATTAGCTAATTGAATTACAACACCAGTTTTATTCAAAGATCCAAGTTTCAAAGAAGCATATATGGAATATGGCATGACATTAATAGAAGCTCCTAAGTCTATCATGGCTTTCTCAAACCTAGTCTTACCTATCGTACAAGGGATAGTAAACATACTTGGATCTTTGCACTTCACTGGAAGTTTTCTCTGAATCACTGTAGAAACATTTTCTCCTACTCTCACCTTTTCACACCCCTTTAGTTTCTGTTTCCTCGTAATTGTACACAGCTCTTTCAAGAATTTAGCATAACGAGGTACTTGTTTAATAGCATCTAAGAGTGGCATATTTACCTCGCATCTACGAAAAGTCTCATATATATATCTCTGTTTTGCTCATCTTTTCTAGATTCTGCTAAAGCTTGAGGAAAAGGAGGTACCAATTTATAATTAGATAGAGGCAGAAACTTACTCTTAGGAACACCATGGTCATTGGGAATGTTACTATCTACAAGGACGTTTTTCTCCTTTTCTTCCTTCGACAATGGAGGGGCTGCCTTTACTGGAATCTCCACCTCCTTACCACTCCTCAAGACGATTGCACTTACATTTTCTCTTGGATTCACAACCGTTTGAGAGGGTAATTTCCCCGAACTTTGAGCCTCTGGCTTACTTATTGCGGTTGCCATCTGCCCTATCTAATTCTCCAAACTTTGAACACTAGCCCTCGTCTCCTGTTTAAATTGCAAAGTATTAGTAGCAAGAGACTTAACAATATCTTCTAAAGACATACCAAAATTAGCAGTTTGGTCCGGTTGTTGTCTAGAGGGGTATGGCTGCTTGTACTGCTGGTAATTTGGGCGCTTTTGATAGTGGGGCTGATTCACTTGTGGATTCCCATAGCCAAGATTAGGGTGATCCCTCCATCCAGGGTTACATGTGCTCAAATAAGGATCATAAAACATTTGCGGTTGTCCAGGAAAACCACCTGCTGCATTCACTTGCTCAACAGGCTCCTCTTGAAGAGTTGGGCACATATCAGTTGGATGCCCTACTACCGAACAAATTCCACAAGCCTTCACTATTTGCATGTCACCTACAGCCATTTGATGAACAAGAGAAGTTAGACTCGAGATTTGTTGTTCTAGGAAAGAAATATTTACCTCATTATCATACCTAGATGGAAGGTCAAGCCTACTGCTAAACTATTGAGAATTGGCCGCCATATTTGCAATCAAGTTTCTCGCGGCCTCAGGAGTCTTATCCACCAAAGCTCCTCCATTTGCAGCATCAATCGTGCTCCTATCAGTGTATGTAAGGCCCTCATAGAAATACTGGATAAGTAGCTACTCACTAATCTGATGATGGGGGCAGCTTGCACACAATTTCTTAAAGCGTTCCCAATATTCATGTAGGGACTCTCCATTATGCTGCCTTACACCACAAATTTCTTTCCTGATGTTGGCTGCCCTTGAAGCTTGGAAATATTTCTCCAGAAATAATCTCTTCATCTCGTTCCATGTGGTTATAGTTTTGGAGGGTAGATAATAAAGCTAATCCTTAGCCGAATCCTTCAAAGAAAACGGGAAAGCTCTTAATTTAATTTGCTCCTCGATCACACCCATAGGTTTCATACTCGTGCAAACCACATGAAGCTCCTTTAGATGCTTGTGAGGATCTTCACCTGCAAGACCATGGAAAGTGGGCAAGAGATGTATTAGTCCAGATTTTAATTCAAAAGTAGTGGCAGCATCTAAAACAGGAAATGTTATGCATAAAGGTGCTTGATTCAAATCAGGGGCAGCAAGCTCTTTCAAAGTCCGAATTCTAGCCATGACGTCCTCCTCTTCTAAATCAAAATTGCTTTCCTTAGAATCTATCCGAGCTTCCTTCCTTAACCTGCGCAAAGTGCTCTCAATTTCTGGGTTGAATGTTAAATCACCAAGATGAGAGGACCTAGTCATAAAACACAGAATCTTATAAAAGGAATAAATGACAAATAATGAAAACCAACCAGAAAATTAAAAAAAAAATAAAGAATTTTCTTTTTTTTATATGTCCAGAAGCACAAAAACGCCAAAAACCCTATCAAAACATTTGAATTTGGCCTCAAGAGGGTGGGGCTTTTTCCAGTGTTGCTCAGAATTTCGTTTTCTTCGAAATGGGTACTCGCAGGACTCCTAACTCAACCAAAATTTTCCTTATGAATAGTACTACTATTCATCCAAAATAGTACTACTGTTCATAGTTTTTTTTTCTGTAAAATAAAAAAAATCACAAAAACACAAAAACAAAAAAAAAAAAAAAATCAACTAGAATCACTCCCCGGCAACGGCACCAAAATCTGGTGTGCTGTCGTAGGCAACCAAGATTAAAAACCTTCCTAACCTAACTACTAAACTGTAAATAGGGTAAGCAAGGGTCAATCCCATGAAGAGTGTCTAACCGAATTTTCGATGATGTGAATAAGGCTGGGGGGTTTTGAGTAAACAGAAAACAATCTTAGCCAAAAACAAAAACAAAAACAATTCAATTCGAAATCAATTAATATAACGAAACTTGGTCTCCGTCAACATCCACTATCGGAATCTTACAACTGATCATTGATGCAAAAGTAAATCAATTCTTACTTTGAATATTCACCGTTGGAACTATTTTCCTATCTCTCCTTAATTGTAATTAATTAGGAAACAAGCGATCTTAATTAATCTTACCATTAAACAACCCTAGACAAGCGCTAAAGATTTAATCTAATGGCAGCCTTAAGAATTAGAGAGATCGATGAAGCTAAACAACACAAACTCAAGCGGTTGTATTTAATTTAGTCGAGTGTTCCTCTTAAGATTACTAATTCCTGACGCAGCAAATTAATAACCCTAATTGCTTCACAAGTTAGAGGGATCAAACAATTACGGATTTGATATCTAACTTAGCAGTAGATTGTAACAAATAATAACCTAGTAGGCCTCCTAGCAATTAAATGAAACAATCATGAAAATAAGCATAGAAGAACATCCAATACTCAAAGCATAAAATTGAACACTGAAATAAAACGGATTAGATCTCACAGTTATTGATTCCGAGGCCTCCGTTTCCTTCGACCAAGTTATAAAAATTAGCCTCTCATGGCCATCACGAAAATTCCAAAGGAAAAGTTACAGAGAAGACCAGAGAGAGGCGTGTGTCCCCCCAAACCTAATCTGATCTCCTAAAAAAATATCCAGTTCAAGTATTTGAATTCCACTAAATCTCCTAAAAGAAATATTCTAATATCCTAAAATAACATTAATCCTAATTTGATTCTAATTAATTGAAAATAAGATAAAGTCCTAAAATAAAATAGGAAAGTGGTGATTCTAAGCTATAACTTGCGTGCCACATGTCTTCAAATCTTCCAATAATAAACTGCCCAATTGATTTGCATGACAAGGCAAAATGTTCCAGAACGTCGGCAGTGCAGGTGTGTCAACTTGAAGCCTGATTACAACCTTGATGCAGCGAGTATCTCTCCAAATTCAAAACATGAAAGTTGTATATATCTTTCTTAGTGTTCCATAGCATTTTGAATCATCTCAATCGGAGATCGGATGAAAGAGTTATGCATAGATTATGAAACAATGTCGAAACTGTCTGAATTCACTTAATTAGTTCCGTTTTGCAATTAACGCCTCCATTTGCATCCTAAATCAAAATAGAATAATAATTAGTATATTTAGGCAGCAAATAAGTATAAAAGACTAGACATTAAGGGGGGGTAAATATGACATTTTGCATTCTCGTCAGGTCTCATCAGAGAGGAAACAAGTCATGTGCCAATTTAAATTCCTTTTTCTTTATTGTATCATGCGATTTTATTTGTATTGTGTTTATTTCTTTTATCCATCTTCCTTGTTTTTTATGTATTAACTGATTTTGGGTAGTTTTTACAATTGTTCCACCATTCTTGTTTTTCAACAAGCGATTAAAGACTATATGTGAATTACACTTAAATACTAAGTTTCATAGTTCTTGTTTCTTGTTTCTTTGTTGTTGTTTCTTTATTTTCTTTTTTCCCATGTTATTCTTTACTAATGTGATTCTTTTCTAAAATTATTGATCTAAAACGAGGTTTTGGTAAACTTTTTGTCAATGCTATAAAGGCAATGTTGTCTAGTGGTTTTTTAATTCTCTTAGTCATTTATGTTTTTTTCGCTCTTTATGATTATATTCATCTATTTTGCTCATAGGATGCTTGACTGGTAGTAATGGTGGTCAGAATGAGTTATGATATGTGTATGACAACGAGGAGAACCTGGTAACATTATATTGTCCTTAGGAATTCTATTTTCTATGGATTTGCTTAAGTTTTGGACAATTTTCAAGTTCTATGTACTTAAACCTAATGAAAAGCTTAAAGCACTTGTGATAGGAAGAATTATGTCAGGATGATCAATGAAAAGTAATCATTTTAGGCATCAAGCCTTGTAACCTTACATTGTAACGCCCACATTGAGGTAAGTTATTTATGCTTTTATGCTTTTAATTCCTTGAGTTTTGCTTGTGTTAATGTGAAAGATTGAAAATTTGGGAAGTGCAGACTTCACCGCGGCAAAGGAAGTTTGTCGCCGCGGCAACGAACTCTCTGCCCAAATCGTGTTCTAGAATTTGCAGGCCTTGCCATGACAAAGAAGAAATTTCGCCGCAGTGACGTATGCTCTAGAATGCTTTGCCTAGGTGAAGAAAAAGTTTCTCTGGGGCAAAGTGCTGGCTGAAATCTTTGAGAAGATTCTAGAGAAAATTTCATTAAGGGATAAATGACCATTCTACCCCTAATTAGTTGTAAATGTGGGGAGTGAAAAGTAAGGAAATTTCATGGAGAATGCAATGAAGGTGAGGGCATTCTTGTAATTTACTAAAGGGCAAAGATGGAGTTTCTAAGAAAGTGTAAGGTCAAAATGGGAAAGTATGCATATTAATATGAGATATTAAGGGTCCAAGCATACAAACCCTATCATTCTCTACTCCCTCACACGTCACTCTCATCTTCAATTCTCTCAATTTGATTCACCAATTTTCAAGGTATTTTAGAGGACTTTTGGTTGGATTTTTGGTAGAGATTCAATCCTAAGCATCCAAAGGTAAGAATTCTTGTAAATAGATGTGAGATTAATTTTTTAAAGTGTTGAGTTCTTATAGTTTATATGCTTAGGGTTTTAGAGAAAGAGGAATTCTACCAAAGAGAAATGATCCAGTGTGGATCAATCCAAGTTCAAGGTAAGTAAATCCAACCCTAGCCCCTGATTTGAGCTATACTTAAGTAAAGAACTTTCTTATTTGTATATGCTTGAGTATTGAGAATTGATGATGAATTTGATGTTGAGTGTTGGTTATAACTCCACCATGAGAAGTAGTGTTTAGTATGAGATGAATTGGTGGAAGTTTAAAGAAAGTATGAGGAAGTTGAGATAGAATTTTGAAGTGTGAATTTTCTGTCCAGGTTTGAGGTTAATTGTAGAGACTTGTGCTCCAAATTTTGGTAGCTAGAAAAAGAGAGAGAAGTGTAGTTAATCCAGTGCTTATTTGTGCACACCACTTGTTTGATGAAATTCCAAAGTGAAGTGCATGTATGGTTATGATAGTATAATATTTTGGAATGAGTTTGTAGATGGTAGAGAAAGTAGAGAATGACATGTTTACATGCCATATTGCATCTTTGCATTTCATTAAGAACTGAGAAAGGATAAGAAGAAGAATCCATCTACATGCATATAAGCACATTAAAGTGTTAGAGTAGATGCTGTAGAGCCAATCAATTATTGTAGAATTGACTCTTTGTAATAATGTTCATTAATCAATAATAAAAGGCATTTTATTCTATATCGCGTAAATCATTATTATTGCAATATGTATTGATATATGTCCTTAGAGTAGTAGAACCGTGACGAGGGTATCAAGTGTTTCAAATCTTGATAGTGAGAACCCTATGAGCACATATGGTGGCCATTCTAGAAACGTCCGTAGCCCCAGTATTATTCTGAAGTAAGGGCACAGATAATACGGTAAGGCTATCATAGTGTTGAACGACCCTGTCNTCTACCATTCTAAGGACATATATCAATACATATTGCAATAATAATGATTTACGCGACATAGAATAAAATGCCTTTTATTGATTAATGAACATTATTACAAAGAGTCAATTCTACAATAATTGATTGGCTCTAGGGCATCTACTCTAACATCAACTAGTGTGGATTAAGTTTGTTGGCCTACCTAATCAACTAATTTTGGCTTGTTCGCCAAAGCGAAGGTTTAAAATGGGCAGGATGGGATCTCAGTCCACTAGGAAAGTCAACGGGCTTTCCCGAGTTAATAGTGAGGGCTATTGACTTGAGGAAAGTAGTGGGAACATCGTTTAATAAAAGACCATATTAAATAATAATGAACTTTATAATAACTTTTTCTTTTCTGTAATTGTAGATTC